CCTTACTGTCCTCATCTAACTCATCCTTCTCCTTCTTATCCATATCCCTAAAGTATAGAGAAAAGATATCGATGTATTCATTCCTCAAAATCTTCTCCATAGTTTTAGTCGCCAAATGGGAACCTAAACCTGAAAGACTAACAGTAGGCGTCGCCTGTGGTGGCCATTTTGCTGTGCCCCAAAATTTGTTTGCCTCCCCAGTTCGGGCCGATTCCAATGTGACAGAAACTGGTTTGGCCGACTGAGCAGCAGAATCATCCTTCTTAACTCCTGTACTGGATTCAGACCCCCCCGTAGAGTGAACCCCAACTGCAGCGGAAGTCTGAGCCCCCACCACAGGTTGAGCCCTCCCCTGATCCCAGGGCCATGCGAGTGAGGTGGAAGTGCACGATGATGTGAGTGCGGTGGAAGTACCTGCTGAGATAGCTGTCACCAACTGCTCACTCCCCGCCACATCTACAGCAGCAGCCGACGACCCCACCAACTGAGTGGACCCGGCCGCAGCACTGACCACGGAGGCCACCGCCGCAGGCTGACTGGGTCCGGCCACAGCAGCCGCCGAGGAGCAAGACAAGGCCTGCACCGATGGAAGTGCCTCAGGGCTGGTGATGGTCTGCACAGCCGAAGACACCACAGCAGAGCCCTCCGCAGCTCCCGAAACCGCCAGTTGTTCAGGAAACCGGACTGCCCTTTCTGCCCCCGCAGCTGAGGTCGACTCTATAATAGAAACCCGGGACAAGAGAGACTTGAACAACTGTTTCTTACTTGCCCTGCGAGTAGAGCCTGCAGCAGCCCTACCCAAACCAACCCCCCTATTTTGTTCAATTTGGTTAACACGCTGAAGAAGGGCCTCCAAATCCTCCATAGACACCCCATCTTCGTCCGACGATGACCCATCCTGCCGCAAAGGGCGCTTGTGACCCGTCTTCTCCGCAGGACCCTTCCCCTTAGGGCCCCCCTTGTTCTTCTTTGATGGCATCCTACAAAATAAAGGAAGGGTAGAATGCCAATGAGAGCCCGCTCCACACACCGCGCTAACGCCCCCATGGCAACCCAATCCGCTCATTCCATTAATGCCAAAATGCCAACCGCACTACCTAAGCATAGAATCAAAGAGTTGGAAAAGACACCCTGTGCCATTCATACCCCCTCGACTAAGCTCCGCAGCATCATAGAATCAAAGAGTTGAAAGAGACATCGTGCCCCTTCTCCCTCACAGCATCATAGAATCAAAGAGTTGAAAGAGACACCGTGCCCCCTCTCCCTCACACCCCTCTGCCACACGTCGCTTCTGGTGTGAGAGAATTGGCCGTCTGCGAGGACACTACCCATGTGATATTGCCCGAAGGCCTGAAATGTGCGGATAATGTATGCAGATTACATCTGCCACCTGGAATGGGGAGGGGGGGGTACGGTAATGCTTAAAGTCTATCCATACACAATAAACCCATCCTATTACATTTCATTCCATGCGACAGGGATCCCACTATACTCCCCATCTCTAAGGGCAGCGCCCCGACCTATTTCCGTGCTATCATCAGTATTGTTTACACTTTCTTCCTTCTCATTTTTCCCCCTTTTTTTTATATATAAATATATATATACAATATTTATTATTTATCCGGTCAGTCCCCTTTCTGTCAGGATCAAAAATAAACAACCCCCGGGTTCTTAGGGCAGCGCCCCAGCCCTGAACCACCCTAAGCTCTCCTGGCACAATGAAAAAGCTCCTGGGCCTATTGGCCAAAAACTGCGTCACAAACGCCTTCAAAAATGGCGGCTGCGTCACAGACGCTTTCAAAATGGTGGCCTCAATGCCCCACTCCCGAACATAAAGGGTTCTTGCTCACCGCCACCTACAAAATGGCGGCCGCAGCCTGTATCACAGACCGTCAGCAAACGGCCACAAAATGGCGGCCGCTGCCGCCAAAATCTCTGCAGCTGCGTCACACTGATTAAAATGGCGGCAGCTGCAAAAATGCGCGCCAACTCAAAGCGCCCGGCGCGAGCGCGTAGGAGGCGCCCTGAAAGAGCAATCAGGCATCCCGCTCTTTTATAACCATGCCGCGCGCCTGGAACGCGCCGCGCGCCTCTCATCACGCAGCTTTAGCCCCCAGCGCCCTCGCAGAAGGGCGAAAAGCAAAAGAGGCCGGCGGCCGTGACAGGCCGTACTCCGGCGCAAACCGCGCGCCGCTCGACTCGCGGGCCAGCTGGCTTTTAGGAGCGGACGGCGAGGGAAACGGCGGCCGCCGATCCCACGCCCTGACCCATCGCTTCGGGCCAAGGCTCCACGTCGGATCCCCAAAGGGGAAGGAGAAGCTGCGCCCTCCTTCCCGACCAGCTGCAAGACCGACCTGGAGCTCCTGGAAACACGTCTTGTCTCTCGAAAAGTCTGACAAGACTGAAGGACGGAGGCTGGCTCACGTGGTTAGCCAGCCCCCGCCCCTCTTCCAGGAGGTTCTAACTGGAACCTCCCATTCTCTCCCTTCAGGGGGTGGGGCAAATCGCTCTCCCCACCAACTGTGTTGGTGTGGAGAGTCCCATCTTCCTAGAAGCCATTGTTGCATAGATCAATCAATTGCCCCCCTATCCCTGATTCAAACATCACTATTTCAGTTTGGAATCCATGTAAGCAGAAATGCAATCCTACTGCATGCCTGGTCTCTTATTGCTTGATTTGAATGATATAAAAATTATTGTTATTTTCTAAAGCAATTTCTGAATATGATCATAGCTCAGGTAGTCATTGTGCTAGATGTCCCATAATTTTACAATTTTTGACCAAGCTACAGTACTGAGTTTCACATAAAAAATCCAAAATCACTAAGAGCACATGGTGGGTTCCTGCCATAAATCACTAGGATTTTTTAACAAGGCCTATGGTTCATCTACACTGTAGAATTAATGCAGTTTGGCACCACTTTGCCTGCTCAATGCTATGGAATCTTGGGAGTTGTGGTTTGGTGAAGCATCAGCACTACTTGGCAGAGAAAATTAAAGCCCTTGTAAAACAACAGCTTTGGTGATTCCATAGTGTGACTGTTAAGTAGTGTCAAGCTGCATTAATTCTACAGTCTAGAAGCACACCTAGATAACGTTAGTGGGTTCTTAAACACATTGCTGCTAATACCTGAGGTTTAAAAAGAGAGGAAAAATAAAAGAGAGCTTAGTGATGTACTAATGGTAAGATTTCTGAGTTAAATTGGAAGAGGAGAAGTAAAGTTTGCCCCGCGGACCCCTTTCGGAACTAGTTGTGAACCTCAGCAGTTACACTTCGACAAGCCAGTGACAATTAGTTGTATATAAGGGCCCTTCCACACAGCCATATAACCCAGAATATCAAGGCAGATAATCCACAATATCTTATTCAAACTGGATTATTTGAGTCCACACTGCCATTTAATTCAGTTCAATGTGGATTTTATACAGCTGTGTGAAAAGGGCCTAATTTTCTGTTTTTCAGATATTATGCAGCATGGGAAAGATTTCAAAGAGTGACATTTGGCGAACAGAACCAGAATCAAAGGTAAGTGTTCTTTCATGTACCTTGATAAGATCCACTGCATTTTCTAAATTATTTGACCAAATATTTTTGGCCATTAGAATGAGCCTATCAAATCGAAAAACCGTCATGACCTTAACACTAGATCTATTGGCCTCATTTCTGAAGTACGCGTTTCATAAACAAGGGCCCATATATTCCTGCAGCCTCCCATCTGAGAAATGGGAAACAGTGGCTATTTTACTGCTCACAGCATCTTCACATGGACTGAAATGTGAAAAGCTTTTTCTATGGGAAGTGACTACGGACCTCATCAAACCAGAGTGTCTATCCATTTTAAATGCTGTCGATGTGTCTTGCAAAGTTCTGGGGTTTGTAGTTTAGTGAGGTCCAGGACCTCTGAGCAGATTAAAGGCCCCTCCCTAAACTACAAATCCCAGAATTCTGCAAGTGACCAAAGGATTTAAAGTGAATAGACAGGGCAGAGTTATCAAACTCATTTTCCTCGAAGGCCCCATCTGCCTTATGGTTGTCTTCAAAGGGCCAGTTGTAATTGTAAGGCTGTATAACTGTAAGTATGTTGCCCTGACACCGAAAGTCACATACAATTAAATTAGGGGCCCAGATTTGGCCCGTAGGCCATGTGCTCTAGTGTGATGAAGTGGTAAGTTTCACATTCTGCTTAAGACCTCATCACACTAGAGAATGAATCCACTTTAAATCTGGTTTCTGCCTTCTGGAGTTTGTAGTTTAGGGAGGAGCCTTTAACAGCCTCACTAAACTACAAACCTCAGAACTCTGCAGGAGGCAGAAACTGGATTTAAAGTGGATTCATTCTCTAGTATGATGAAGTAGTAAGTGTATCGTGTTGTCTTTGTGATTGGGTAAGCATTACGGTGGAAGCACTTAAGGGGTGAGGGAATTGGGTTCTGTCCTACCAGTGGAAATCTGCATCATTTAGCATATCAGCACAAGATGATCAGTTCAAAAATTTAAAAATATACTGGAATTTTTTAACATAACTTCTTTAAGAAAGTATCAAATGCCCCCTTACCTTCTAAGTTTTGTAATCAAATGTCTTGAATTATAGACCAGCATGAGAAATGCTTCTTAATTGGATACTTAGTAAAGTTTTTCCCTAACTGTGCCATTCTAATGAACTGCTCTGGCATCTATCTGAACCCTTTCTAATTCCCAACATTGTTTTTGATGTCCCCACTTATTTCTTTTTAATATATGGCTTCTTCCATATACCACTGATAGCCTTTCAAGCATTATATTAGTTATATCAAGCACCTATATAAGGAAAAGTATTTGCTAACCTTGTTCTCTCTGTTGTAGTTCTCCAAACAGGGAAAATAACATCTGAAAAGCAAAAGCCTGTCATGTATGTGACGGTTCTCAATGCAATCAGAAACCCACATTGCTGTCTGTGAGAGAAGAATGATAATGCATAGAGACAGGCCTAGTGTGTCCAAAGTTTACTAAATCCATATATAATAATATTTGAAGAAGACTTGTATTTCTCAAATGTCATAATTTTAAACTGAGGCAATTTTGCTGAGATAATAGCCAAGGGTTCTAGCTTTTGTGTGTTAAGAGTTATTTACTGGGCTTGTCCGGTGAAGGATGACAAATTACTTGACCCGAGTCCTATGTATGTTTACTTCAAACTTGCACAGGAGTTTGCATTTGTACACTAACAAGGGATATATTCTCATCTAGGATGTTCCAGCTCTCCCAATCACAACTACCTTTTTGGAAAGGAATTTACCATCTGTCCCAGGATTCCTGGTCCTTCTGGGATTTTCTTCCCTCTTTACTACATTGGCTGCAGTTGGACTCTTTGCTTACAAGAAGGGATATATCCCCCGAGCATGTATCTAATATAACAAATCCCATCTCCCCTCACACTGTGGATATTATCCTTCAAGAGGAGTCTTTCAGAATCTCTTTGGGACACCTGAATCAACTCAGTCAAATCGATTCAATACATGACCCATGGAGTAAATGATGTTCTATTTTCTTTCCTCACTTACTTTGCTTGATTGAAAGTCAGTGACCTTTCTTCTCACTGCGTTCTATCCATCCCCTGGTGATACTAATGAGAACAAACCAGAACAGATTTTGCACATTTTCCAGTGTCTTTGGAAACCATCTGCTTGTCTTAATTTTTAAAAGAAACAAAATCTTATGGTGAACAAATAAATATTCAACTCAGATGCTTAGTCTGCCAAGTGCCTCATATTCTTACTGCTTTTGGAAAAACTGCTAATGTTTTTCAGCTATTATGTACTCAATATTAAACTCACAATGGATTTGAATGAAGTGAAATAAATAATGTTAAACGGAGAAGCAAATTAAGAATGAAAGACCCTTTCCCAGGAGTTACATTAAAAAAAGGTTCCTTAGTTATTTTACTAAGCATTGCATTACAGGAAAAGATTTAGACTCCAGGGTTTTGGAAACTTATATTTTTGTTACTAAGTTCTAGAAATCCATGATCAGTCTGGCTGGTGGTCCTGACCTCTACTCCAGTGTTGATAATAACCATTGCTAGAAAGACATTTGGCCAATAGTGGTCTTTTTAGAAGAACCACATCCCTCATCTCTCTCAAAGCTTGAAAATGTTACTTTTTTGAGGCTGTGACTTCCAGAATATGGTAGTGGATGTGTAAGGTAGTGTACTCTGTGAGTTGTAGTGAAAATATTTTCCACGATCTAGGATAATAGAATTTGAGTGGTCTTGTAACCTAGGTAGTTTATTCTGCAGGACTCTTGTGTTCCTAGCAGTTGGCCGTCTAGTCTTAATGAAATCTAGGGAGGATCAACCCACCCACTCTCCAGCAGTATCGGTCCCTTTACTGAACTTAATGTCAAAATGTTCAAACTACAAGTTCAATATCCTTTGTCCAGAATTATAAAATCCAAAATACCGCAAAATCTGAAATTCTCCACGTGGATGGCTTGGGCTTTGTGTTCAAGGTGTGTATGAAATATAAATGAATTTCAAGTTTATACTTAGGTCCCATCTCCAAGATGCACAACAATGGAAGTGTAGGTATAGCAGACTCTGAAAAAAACACCATACACTTCTAAAATCCAAAACACTTCTCATCCCAAGCATTTGTCATAAGGGATATTAAATTTATACTTGCTTAAACATATTGTATCTAGTTTTGTGCTTAGGGGTAGCTACTGTAATAGCCTTTCAGAAATTGAAAGAAAACACATTTCCAATTATCTTTTCTTTTCTGTTTATTAAAAGGCAACTTTCAGACATGGACATAGTACTTCAGATGTGGTCTGACTAAAGAAGACACATTCCTCAGTTCTGTATAAACCCATTTGATAGTATTTTGCCATTACTCCTCTCTTCTCCTATGAGCAAATTGAAGAACTCTTAATTTACAATAGAGACTCAGAAAGCTAGGATTTTGAAGTGCAACAGAAAGAGAATTTTCAGTTGTGGCAACAGTCAATAAAATCAGATGTATTTTATTATCTTCCTCTCCCTTTGTTCCCAACACAATTCTTTGAGGGCCCTTTCACACATGCATTATAACCCAGGTTAAACCAGGTTAAAAGTTATGGGGTGGTTAAGCGACGTTCAGCTAAAATGCAGGAGGAATCCGATGAAAGGCTGCAAAACACGTGTTTAAAAGTTGCCCTTTAAATCCGGTTCTTCCTGAGAAACACACATCTTTCTATGCCTGTGTATCCTTGCAGGTGTGGAAAAATGTGTTTTCCTTCCCTTCCTCCTTTCTGGATTCCCCCTTGTCCCTCATGTAACTTTCAACTTACAGGACAAGCCTTCAATGCAGATCTGTCCCTCCTCCCTGGAAGATCTAACAGGGGCCTTGGGACAGAAAACCCCCTCCCCTACCCAAAGCCCGCCTTCTGCTCTTCTGAAGGAGCGGGGAGGGAGGCAGGGAGTCTTCAGGCTTTGGAGAGAGGGTGGGATATAAATAAAGTTTATTATTTATTATGCAGGCCTTGTCCAGTCTTCTCCCAGTAAATGCAGGGGGGAAGGGAGAATGAGGCTGCAGTGCCAGTGCCCACCCCTGCTCACCAAGGGTGAGTATCTGGACATCCCCACTGCAAAATCCCAGGGCTGAGGCCAGCTGTGCAGTCTCCATCCCAAGAGGAAGTGGGATTTCCTTATCTGTAAGTACCAAGATAGGCTAAACTGGGAAATATTGGGTTGAATCTAAAGCCCCTTCCACACAGCTTTTTCTGTGTGTCAGGAGTGACCTGAGAAACTTCAAGTCACTTATGGTGTGATAGAATTGGCTGTCTGCAAAGACATTGCCTAGGGGATGCCCAGATGTTTTGCTGTTTTACCATCCTTGTGGGAGGCTTCTCTCATGTCCCCACTGGAGCTGATAGAGGAAGCTCAACCCATTCTCCCCAGATTCCGCTGACCTGTCCATCAGCAGTCCTGCCAGCACAAGAGTTTCACCCATTGCACCACCAGGGGCTCCTTTCCACACAGCTGTATAAAATCCATATTGAACTGAATTATATGGCAGTGTGGACTGAGATATTCCAGTTCAAAGCAGATATTGTGAATTATTTGCCTTGATATTCTGGGTTATAGGGCTGTGTGGAAGGGTCCTAGGTTTCATCCAAAGCATAGCAGATCTACCAAAATTCTCCTCAAGTGTAGCTGTGTATTCAGCCCAGTGACTGGACCATTGTCAGCTATTAAGCAAGTATTTTGAAGCTAATTGTCCTCTAAGTATACCTGTATTTCAAGGTGGTAAATGAACTAAATCGTTCTTTTAAAATAATTTTCCCTCCTACCATTTTAGCGTCTATAAAGATTAATCCCTGGACAAATGACAGCCTGGTTATAAGCGAATCTGTATATGCTAACATTCTCATCAGTAATCATTTTGGTAAAATAGTAGAAAGGTTCTGTCTGTCTTTGTAATTTAGTGAAATGTGCCTTTTGAACATGCCTTGAATTGCCATTAAAGTATCCATTTAAAACACTCCAGTGCGTTCATGCTGTGTTATTTTTATGACTTTTGTGAGGCAATTTATTTGCTACAGATTACCCATTAGCTGCTAATGCACACCGAGACAGCTTTTAAGGTGACATTTCAAATTTCAGCACAGGTACCAGCGACAGACCTAAATGTTCTTTCAGAAGGAGACAAGAAAAAGGGAATGAGCCTAGAAAGGATGAAGCTCAGCCCACAAATGAAACAATAGTACATGGCCTTCTGGGCTAGAGGTGTGTGAAATGGCAGAAATCAATTTAATTATTGTTTTGGTAAGATTTGATTCATTAGAGCCAATGAGGAAATTCACGAGACTTGTCTTTCTGTCATTTTGATAGCTATCAGGATGAAACTTGCCACACTTATAGAACATATTTATGACTGTAAGCTTGCCAAGTTTTAAAACATTTCGATCATCCACTAATATTTAGGAATTTTAAAAAAACTATAAAATTTTAAACCACAAAGTTTAAAAGTCAAAGGGCATTTCCACAAGATGCTTTTATCACATTGTTGACTTGTCTCCTGTATTGAAATTTATGCAGCTTCCAAAAAAATGGCCAGCATTCCTTTGTTTATCTATTGCTTCTTCTACTTTTCCCCTTCCTATCATGACAGATCTATTAAAACATTTTTGTTGTTGTGGACCTTCATGCAATTTCTGACTTACGGCAAGCTTAGGCGCCTTGTCCCAAAACAGAAAATGAGCCTGAGCTAAAATCACTGCAATCTTTAAGGATGGCGCCACAGCTGCTTCCAGAATGGCAAAACCACTGCTACCTTTGAAGTAAATGAACATCTTTCAGGAAGGAATACTTCATCCAGGATTCAGGGAGCTTCAGTTGTCTTTAATCCTTCATCCTAAACTCTTGTTTGTTGGCCTGATTTAATTTATTCATCCTCTGATATTTGTTGTATTAATGTGAAATTTGGTATTTTGAGTTGTAAATTGCCATGGGAATATTGCAGCCTTTAGTGATGTGTAAGAAGTCCATGAGAGAGAATTTGCCTGTTATCTATAAATCTCCTTGTTCAATAATAATTGAAGCAAAATCAATGCAATGCAATGGAGCAGAAAGCATTTTAGTCTACTGTGAAAAACTACATACTTGCACCATGAGTGTTTCCTTCCATCCATGTTCACATTATTTTGTAGCTATGATAGAGACACCCCCCCCTCCCACACACCCTGTTACAAAAAAAACTTTGAGTGTTTGAGCAGGGGAGGATTAATGCAATGGTTAATTTTGGTGAAAATTAATTCCAGCTCCCCATGGGGGGACATGACAGAAGCCTCCCACAAGGATAGTAAAATATCAAAACATTCGAGCGTCCCCTGGGCAATGTCCTTGCAGATGGCCAATTCTCTCAAACTAGAAGTGACTTGCAGTTTCTCAAGTTGCTCATAACATGAAAAAAAATCTAAGAGGGAAAAACAGTATGGAGTATTCTGTGAAATTTTTTAAATATGCATACCACTTCCATATTATGACCAGTTCAGAAGGAGCCCCCTGGCAAATGCAGACAGGGGGGAAAACCCAGTAACTTAAAGTATGAATAGCATATACTTCAAAATCTGGGCATATATGCATATACGCATGGGCACAGACTTCTCAACAGGGCCTGTATATAACTTTGATAGTTTAACATTGATCATATTATGATGGATTTGAATTCTTTATATGAATTCTAAACTTTTCTTCTTCATGTATGAAGAAAAAAAAAGTGAACTTTATACCAAATTGTTGAGAGCAGAAAATGCAATTAATGTAAAGAAGAAGAGCATCTAACATTGGTGGAATATTAATAACTATGTTATGGCTAAACTGTCTAATTTTATTTATTTATTTATTTATTTTCAATATTTCTACCCCATCCTTCTCAACCTCCAAAGGGGGACTCAGGACAGCTTACACTTGGCAACAATTTGATGCTGCTACATATAACAATGCAATAATACAACAACAATTAAAAACAATAAATAGAACATTAATTAAAAACAATAAAAACTGTGGTCATGTTGATCTGTATTGGCCTTTGATTTCTAGACTAAAATATATTGGACAACAGCTATTTTATCTTTCACTTTGGATGAAATCTTGAAATCTGAATACTCAAAATCTCTGTTCTGTGTATTAAGTTTTCAGGAAGGGATGAGGGCAGTTGAAAGAGGTAGAAAAAGACTTGGCATGAATATAATAAGGGAAGGAATT